TTGAGCATATAGTGATAGATCTACATTTGATAGACCAATCGGCACCTGATGACGATGTCGTCAGCATAGCGTCGGCCGTCTGTACTTCCCAGGTTTTTACCTGATACTACTTTCAGGCTGGGTCGTCCTGGAAACCAAGGTCATTCTGAAAAAAAAAATTGATTCCAGATCCGATCGAGTTTAAACCCACGATCTTGTGTCCCGCAGGCGAGCGTCTAGGCGTTGCACAGCAGCGGCTGCCGTAAAAAAAAAAAAAAAAAATATATATATATATATATATATATATATATATATATATATATATATATATATATATATATATATATATATATATAAATATATATATATATATAATATATATATATATATATATATTTATATATATATAGCATTTTTTGTCATTTCTCTTTATGCCTAGTAGCACACGAGGCTTCAGAGAAGTTTTCATGCTTTCCTGACCTGTGCAATCTTCAGTGCAGTTTTCCATGTCAGTGATGACGCACTTAGTTCACTTTTTATCGTTTGTCTCCACGTCTTTTTTTGGGCGCCCCTTCTAACTCTTTCCCTCTGGTGTCCATGTGAGAGCTGTTTTGGTAGGTATATCAGGATTCTTTCAAATAACGTGGCCAGGCCATTTCAATCTTCTCTTGATTATCATACTATCAAGAGTTTTTTGGTTTGTGACGTGAAGTAGTTTAGTATTTGAGATTGTATCTGACCAGAAAAGCTTTATAATTCTATGTAGACATGCGTGGTGGAAAGAGGTTAGCTTGTGCCGATCCCTTTTGGTCGTTCTCCAGCATTCTGTTTCATAAGAAGAATTGGCAAAATGATGTTCCTTTGGAGTCGGAGTTGCGTTTCTCTGTAGTAATTGTTGGATTTCACGATTTGCCTCATCGTTCCAAAAGCGGCTCTAGCTTTGTTCAAGCTTGATTGTATGTGTTCCTCAAAGTAGGGACACCACACTGCCAAGATATGGAAACTGTTTTACACTTTCAAGTGTTTGGTTGTTTAAGGTTACTGGTTGTTGGCTTGGACTGTTTGTCATAATCTTAGTTTTCTCAGTCCCACCGTTTCTGATGTGCTGTGTAGACTGCTACTGTTATCTTGTATATTTTCATGTTTATGTGATATGAGTGCTTTTATATCAACTGCAAAATCAAGGTCTTCGAGCATGGTGAATAGAGTCCATCGTATGCCTCTCTATGTCTATAGTACTATTACCATATGCTAAACATGCATCAAAGCTTGGCAAAGTATGATTTGCGTCACTTTTCTTCAGACGGTTATGTAAAAGTTAGTGTTCAAACCCAAAGATTTACAAACTAAATATTTAGCGGTATTCTGGGTATCAGGGCATGCCCTGGTTATATGAAAAAGAGTATGGGCTGTGCTCTGGTTCACATGATTCCAAGAAATCGAACAGGATGATTTGTTCCGACTGCCATCTGGTCTTTTCTTTTTCCGAATAATAATCCTTCAAAACGATTAACCTTCTTATTGATTAACTCTTCAAAATGATTAACCCTTCTTACTGATTAACTCTTCATAATGATTAACTCTTCTTATTGATTCACTCTTCATAATGATAACCCCGTTTGTTCCTATTCAAAGACTTTCTGATTTTATTGTCAACAGGATTTTCGGAATGTATAATCTAACCGAAGGCTGCCTTTTTTCCACCACCTCTATATTTATAGTTGTGTACAATAAAAACAAAGTAACATAACAAAAAGGGTCCAGCCTGCTAGAATATTTTCTATGCTAAAGCAGTGTACAAGAACACACGCGTAATGCCTAGATGACACAATGTAAAGTGGGAAACAGGAGATTTGTTTGTCACAAAAATGAGGTACAGTTTACACATGTGCCTATTTATAGGAAACGAAGCTATCGTTTGATTCAATGACTGTTTCTTCTTTTTCTTCTTCTTCTTGTTCTTCTTGTTCTTGTTCTTGTTCTTGTTCTTGTTCTTGTTCTTCTTGTTCTTCTTGTTCTTCTTGTTCTTCTTGTTCTTCTTGTTCTTGTTCTTCTTGTTCTTCTTGTTCTTGTTCTTCTTGTTCTTGTTCTTCTTCTTCTTCTTCTTCTTGTTCTTCTTCTTCTTCTTCTTCTTCTTCTTCTTCTTCTTCTTCTTCTTCTTCTTCTTCTTCTTCTTCTTCTTCTTCTTCTTCTTCTTCTTCTTCTTCTTCTTCTTCTTCTTCTTCTTTTTTTTCTTCTCGTCCACCAGCTAGTTGTACACTCCGGCGGAAAGTTCTGGTTGTTTGTCCACTTCTGGAATGCAGTACTAGAACAACTAGAAAATAGTGATCTCAGTAACAACAACACAAGTTCTAAGACATCACACAGAAGAGCGGCTGTCCTAGCAGCTAGCATGCTTAATTCTTTGTTGGGAGAATTGGGTTCAAATCATCAATAAAGTGATAGGATGGTTTCTCTGCGGAAAAAAAATAGTTACAAAATTTTCCTAGTATGACTAGGGCAGTAACATGGTTTGTAACATCACCTGCATGAGCTGCTTTAGTTTTGGAGTTACAATTCATGAAAAAGTAAAGTAAAGCGTCGTTTGCAGTATATGTTATGATGTTGCAGAGGCGGAGGCGATATGAGGTCACCAGGCGATGTCAGCGAAGACGAAACCCAATTAAAAAGACCCCAAAAACGGCACAGTCGCAACTCATTCAAATCTACTACAACAACGTCTGAGAGTACAGCAACAACCAATCTGTCAGTGCCACCAACAATGGCGGATAACAAGTAAGATAGTTCTGTTGTGTGTCACTCGGCATCCATCAACATCGTCATTCTTCTGTAGTACCATTTACGTTTCCGGTTCCATGATGTTTGGTAGAAAATTCCATTAACCCCATTAAATATAAACACGAAAACACGTAGATACTGTGCGTGGAGTCACCTTTATTTTTGTTTCGGGACACGCAGGCGTCGATGGAAATGAAAGAGCTGACAGGTTGGCTGGATCCGCTATCACTACCGACGGTCGGCCTATGGATCATGCTGATATTATCAATGCCCTCAGAGAAATGGGAAGGATAGAGGACTTTGGTGGCAGTGAATCCACATCACTCGCCAGAATGGCAGACTTGGGAATTAAGATCGGCACAGCAAAAAACGAGACGCACACCGGACACGTCAGAAGACTTGTTAATCAACATAGAACTGGTACTATTAGCCATCGGACGTTGGGGTTCATACTGAGGGGAGGATCTGAGCACCTATTGACATGTCCGGAGTGCAATGACGATAACCCAACTAACTAACTAACTAACTAACTAACGAAAACACGTAGAAATGTAAAAGGGATGAAAGATGTCACCGTGGCTGCCAGATTCATTTAGTATCCACATACCCAAACTTAAAGATAAGAAGATACTTGATGTGATATTTGAGGTCTCCTTGGCGAAGTGGTCAAACTGTTTCCCTAGCGTTCCGAAGGTCGTGGGTTCAGTTTCACAACTGCGCCCTTCAGTTCACGAGTGCAATTTTTGCGGAGATTCCTGGTGATCGTCGGCGGAGCTATAGAGTTCACCCTTTGTTCGGCGCTCTTGGAAGCGGCTAGCCGTTCTACGGAAAGAAACCGAACCATATAGGATAAAACTCGTTTCAATGTAGTAGATTCTCTCGACTTTTTTTTTTTTTAACTATTGACCTTTTAGAGACATGTGGGGAATAGTCAGTATCATGATATGCGTTGTTTTGGACTGAAAAAGTCAAAGGCAGTCCTCCATTTGGCTCTGTTTTGTGCAATTTTGTTCGATATCATTAGGGATGCTAGTAAAGTTTTAAATACTGGGTTTTTACTTATGAAAATAATATAAAATTACAAATCCAACGATAACTCAATGAAGCCTGTAGGTCAGTTCTAAGCAGAGATATTAACATTTTGATGACGAAAATCACCATGGACAATAATAAGAAGAATAACTCCACTGAGGGGCTTGCACAGCAAAGGTCCGCCTATCATAAAAAGAAAGATCCTGTGTCGAAGATTGCTTCGGCCTGTTACTTCCTATACAATCTAGAAAGGTGGGCCGTCCTGGTTCATGAAGCCAGGCCTCGATCTTCCCCTGCTTTACTTTATCGACGCTCGGACAGGGACACGTCGAGATGGTAACTTTGCAACAGGTATTGTGAGATTTGATGTTATATACATGTGTGTCGATGCTATAACAAGTTTAGCCGACTACCTTCACGATCAGAGTGACAAGCTAATGGTTTGTTCAACGGACAGGTGTTAGACTTTGGCAATTGGCAGAGAGACACTGGCAGACATTTGTCGGACACTTTGACTTTAAAGAGGTGTAAGGTTATTTTCCACTAGGGGCCCAGACCAGCCTACCGAGGCCCATTCCCCCACGACGTTCCGTTGCGTCCAAAGACAGCTCGAAGCTTTTTCAGCTGCATTGATCAGTTGTTTTAGTTCCCTTTTCCGTTAATTTCCTCGCAGCCCAGGTGCTTTAGTACATTATATGTGGAAGTGGAGATGAGTCCTCTTGCGTCTACCTCAACGGCAAGGATATTTTTACTATCTACGTGTCATCTCTCCTTAGACCGGCCACCAGCTAACCGTACTTTTCGAGCTTGTACAGGTGATTTTCTTCTATCCACGACGCCCTGTTGCAGCAAGGAACCTGTTTACCAGCAGGTGTCATTACCATCGGCGCTTCGAGTGAAGGAAATGATTGGAGACGATTATCATCGTCTACTAGAAAGAGGGTCCACCATGCCCTTACTCTTGGTTTAAAAGTGGCTAGAAGGAATGCTCTGATAGGTGGACCTACTAACGTCTCACAAAGTGCAAACTGCGTAGCGCTAGCCTCGACCATAGAAATGTGACACAAATTTTACTTGTGAACGGAACAATTCAGTCGTGGAACAAACGTGCGATCTTCAGTGCACGACGCAATCTGCATAGCCACTACGCTTCTGACACCCAGTGACAGTTCCTGACAATCAGTCTCTGTATCATTCCATAGTGTCTGCAGTAAGTGAAGAACCAATGCAACGACTTTATATGGTTTTTTTCTTCTTTTTTTTTCATCTGCGCAGCGCTCTAGCCTGGGATGTTTTTAGATCAGTGTCACGGAGAGGAGAGACATTTTATGAGACCACTACCAACTGGTTCCAGGTAGCAGCCAAAACCGTCAAGGTCATTGCCTACATTATCATCTTCCTTGCCGTCTTGGCCTGTGCGGTCGTCAGTAAAGCCAGCCTGCTGCTTATGACACAGGCCATTGGAAACGCCGATCTGGTAGGCTTTACATGTGTAATATGAGTACTGTTCCGTTTTTGTTGTTGCATTTTTGGCTCCTCTTGGTCCTTTTGTTTTTGGTTTTCTCGTTCCTGTTATTGTGCTTTTCTTGTGCTTGCTATGCTTCTTCAGAAAATCGAGAACAAAATGAAAGTTAGCAAGCACAAGAAAACCCTTTGTTGGTGCCGCTGCTGTTATTCCTATTTATTGTTGTTTTTGTTATTGTTCTTCTTCTTCATCTTCAACTCCAACTCCACCTTCTTCTTCTTCTTCTTCTTCTTCTTCTTCTTCTTCTTCTTCTTCTTTTTCTTCTTCTTCTTCTTCTTCTTCTTCTTCTTCTTCTTCTTCTTCTTCTTCTTCTTCTTCTTTTTCTTCTTCTTCTTCTTCTTTTTCTTCTTCTTCTTCTTCTTCTTCTTCTTCTTCTTCTCTTCTTCTTCTTCTTCTTCTTCTTCTTCTTCTTCTTCTTCTTCTTCTTTCTTCTTCTTCTTCTTCTTCTTTCTTCTTCTTCTTCTTCTTCTTCTTCTTCTTCTTCTTCTTCT